GTGTTTTCTCTTTCTCTGGCATTAAAAGGAGGTATTTTTGAATATCTAGTGTATATTTTTACATAGTAAGCCTACAATAATTTATAGAATGATTTGAAACCCTAATTACGATTTCTATATTCCAATCATTTGTTCATGGAACAGGAGAACCACAGATTCTTTTAGGGTATTTAAAAGGGATAATTTCTTAAGAAATAATATCAGTTTATTCAGATGATTCACGCTTAGAACTTCTGTCCTTTAGAGATCATTTAATTTTATAATTAAAACGGATACTATCTGTGAGGAAAATGAAGGAAAGATCACACTTTAGGGTCCTAAGTGACAATATGATCACTGATACACTTCTGTAGAGAAAATATGATATCCTACATTCATTCAATTGTATGCCATTATGGTAATCCACTACATATGTGTAAGATCACTTAACAATGCAAGAATATAGTGCACACATGGGCTGTATTCTGTAAATAGGATTAACTGTGGAATTCAACCAAGGTCTTCCCTGGGGATAGATTGCTGAAAAATACATCTACATGACATTTTAAAAAATAAATTAACCAATGACATCAGCTCCCATGAGACACATTGTTTCCTGTACATTCAATTCTATCACAGTTTTCTGTAGCTCTCTGTTGACATCCCCATCCCAGCACAGAATCTCAAAACCAAAAGAAAAACAGAGCAATTGGAGCTAGTCCATCTCTCTTGCATGAAGTGTTACATACACAAAGGAATGATTTTTGTACATTAGCACAATGTGATCCATAACATGGTAAGATTGTGTCAGTCTGAGGCTGTTCTTGTTATATTGTGGTCACATATAACTTACCCAAGGGAATGTACAAAGTCTGTATTCATGCTGACAAAGACCAGCAGGGATTGTAGGAAAATGAAGATTGCTGAGGTACAGCAGGGACTTTGATTTTTTTCTTTAAACAATGCTCTTTATTATGATAACTTTTCTTAGTTTTACTTATTGAAATCAGTCTTCCTCATTTGTAAAATAGGAATAACTATTATATGTATTTAATATTTTTATTCTGAGGAGTAAATTAAATACCAGTAGGTTGCCTGGCACACAAATGTTAACTCATATAATTCACATCAGCATTTGGCTAACATGAACTAAATACCTGTTATGTGTTTGGCACTGGCATCAGATCCCAAGATAAATTGTAGGAGGAAAAACTGATGCTGGATAGGAAAGCAGGGAGCTCATTTTCAAAGGTTTTATAAGCCAGTTTAAGAAGTTTGGATATTATCCTAAGGACAATGGGCAGCCGTGAACTATTTTATTTAGAGGCCACATAAGTTCAGATTTGTGATTTATAAAAATCATTTTGTCAGTATTGGTGGAAAATGGATTAGAAGGGAGGCAGGCTGGAGCCAATGGTAAACCAAGCTAGATGTGATGCCTACATATGACCTACATTAAGGCAATGGAAATAGGGGTAGACACAGGGGAAAAAATCGATAATTTTAAAAAAATAACAAATATTGGGGCTGGGGATGTGGCTCAAGCAGTAGCGCGCTTGCCTGGCATGCATGCGGCCCAGGTTCGATCCTCAACACCACATACAAAAAAACAAAGATGTTGTGTCCGCTGAAAACTAAAAAATAAATATTAAAATTCTTTTTCTTTCTCTCTCTCTCTCTTAAAAAAATAATAACAAATATATAATTGTAAAAGATTAGACAATTAAAATATGCAAAAGGTAAAAATAGAAGTCATACATAATCTTACCTTTTATAACAAACCCTTATTAATATTTTTATGTGTACTCAACACTTCAGGAATTTTTTCTGTGTATACACAGATGTGTGTGGTGTGTGTGGGATATGTGCCTATTGAAACTGGAATCTACCACTCTGTACTGACAGTTTTATGACCTGAATTTTGTCTTAACATATTATAAACAAATTTCCATATCATTAAATATACTTTAGTAATATGAACTTACATAGCTACTTAAAAATTCATTCTATAGATGAACCACAATTGGTTTCATTCTAACCCCTAGTATTGGACATTTAAGATGTTCTTTTTTTTTCTTCTTTTGTTTTTGCCATTATTATAAACAACTCTGGGTTAGGCATGCTGGGAGCAAAATTTTTGGAAACATTGTGATTATTTCTTCAAAACAGAGCCCTAGAAATTGAATGGTAGGTTATTTCTGATAATTTGACAAATTGCTCTCCAGAAGGGCTTTATCAAATTCTGTTCCACTAGCAGTGTCTCTGACTAGGAGGAGATGGATTTGAGAGTGATTCCTAGAATGGAATCTTGGGTAGAGAGGAGGAGTGTTTCCTGGCAAAGTATTGGGGCAAGAACAACATGAACTTGTCAAAAGGAGCAAAGCAATGGGCAGACCTAACAAGTGTAAATTGTGGGAAAAAATGTAAGATAACCAAGGAAGAGTGGGAAAAAATAAGAAAATTAACTAATGAAATCACGGACATTTTATTTACTACTTTATTCAGCAAGAGTACTAAATGTAGCTAACAAGTAATCTTGTCATGATATTTGGTTCTCTGTGCTACCAAGGGCCTGAATTATATTCATGTGACTACATTGGTCCATTCTTTACATCCAATAATCACTGCCTCTCTTCTAATGCATTTTCCACCAATACTAACAAAATGATTTTTATAAATCACAAATCTGAACTTATGTGGCCTCTAAATAAAATAGTTCACGGTTGCCCATTGTCCTTATCTACTATATGCCAAATGCTGTTTCTGGATACTACATGTATGGAGATGAATGAAACCTGGTCCCTGCCCTCAAGGAGCTCACAGTCTAGTGGAAGAGACAGAAACATCCATACAAACAGACACAGTATGGTGCAAGCTGGAATAGAGGTAAGTGTAGGGTCCTGTGGAAACCAGAAGCCTAATCTTGCTTTGTGTGTGCATTCACATGAGTGTGGTGAGGGGTAACATATCATATTCATATTCTTTATCAGTGTCTTGAATACATGATCCACTGCTCTCAAGAATACTCAATAAGACAGGAAGAATGATTATGTATAATCAAAATCAACTCTTAAACAGTGAAAATAGCCTCCACTGTTACATCAATGCACATATAAACATAGCATGTTTTGGTAATATTATGCTTATTGTAGAATATAAAAGATAACAGACAAGTGGTGCATTTGGACTTCTAAAACAAATTCTGTTGACACCCATATGATACTATTCACATCTATCAAGTCCTACTAATGCTGTCTCCTAAATGTTTCTCAAATCTGTTTCTGTTCTCATGTGCCACTACTCTCAGATCCTTTTCATCTCTATAGAACAGATCACCCACCTCCTAAAATGGTCATGTCTCCCTCCAGGCATCCTTCCTACTGACATCATCCAAATAGGAAAATATGATCATGGAACCCCTCTTCCAAAACACTTTCATGTTTTTTTGGTTGCCTATGTATAAACAGTATTTATCACATTTTGACTATTTGAATATAACTTTGTGATTTTTACCATATTCACATAATTATTGACTTAACATTTATCTTTAAAGCACCTTAAGATTGTTTAATTTTGTTTTTATTAAATCAGATCCTAACTAACCTTCATTATATTTATCTTTTAAAAGGTACATTTAAATATAAAACTAATAAAATTTAAAATGTTTGTAAAAATATAATGTAACCACCACTTGCAGATGCACACATTTGGTGAGCCGCTGGGCCTAGGGGGTCATACCCAAACTTCTTAGCATTGCATCTGATTCTTCACAAATCAGCCCTGATGTATCTTTCCAGATTCTTCTACCATTATACCTTGCTTCTCCCAGACAATCTTCATCCAGCCATGCTGAATTTCTCAATGTTTAACAAATACGTCCTACTCTTATACAGCCACATATTGACCCCTAAGAATTGTGGGCACCTATCTCCCCAACTAGACCCAGAGAGAGCTCATACTTTGTACTTTGTAGTACCTCCAACAATTTGTTTGGGTAGAGGTCATGGAGGTGATCTAATCACCCAGGTCATTTTTTTTTCAAAGGCTAAAACAAGGGGCTGGAGTTGTAGCTCAGCAGTGGAGCGCTTGCCTTTTACATGTGAGGCACTGTGTTCGATTCCCAACACCACATATAAATAAGCAAATAAAGGTCCATCAACAACTAAAATAATACTTAAATAAATAAATAAAAGCTAAAATAAAATAAAACCCAAAATGCTGTCCAGGCCTAAATCGCTCAGAGGCATGACATATTTTATAAAGAGAACCATCTAATTCAGAACTAGCCATACTCACTATAGTTTTGGCAGACACAATTAGCTATGGTTGCAATAGTAGTTAAGCTAATTTGATTTTGGCAGCTACTTTACAGCAGATACATTCTGACAGAAATTCAAAGTGAATCATTTGGATTTCTGCCAGGATGATCAACTATACTTCATAATAATCTCTCTACTACAAATGGAAATTCAAGAAGAAGAAGAGGAGGAGGAGGAGGAGGAGGAGGAGGAGGAGGAGGAGGTGGTAGAGGAAGAAGAGGAAGAGGAAGAAGAAGAGGAAGAGGAGGAGGAGGAGGAGGAGGAGGAGGCAGAGCAAACCATGGTGGAAAGAGCATTGACTTTAGAGTCAGAAATCTGTACACTACAATCCCAACTAGCTCCTTATATTCTATGTGACATTGACTAAGTATTTGTTTACTCTCTCTGCATTTTAGTTTTTCTTCTAGGAAAAAAAAACTGGAATAGTACACACATTGTAAGACACTTAAGATAATGTAACAAGTACTTATGATGATGCCTGGGACATTATATGGGTTCAATAAATAGCAGTCATTATTGTCACCCAATGAGAAGAATACATTGCAGGTAATCTGCTGAAGAAGGAAAGCAAATGTATGTCTTAAGAAAATAAATTTATGTCACCCGGCTTTCAAATTGAGAACTACAGATTGTAGCTCAGAATAGCCACCAACAAAATGTCTCTAAGACAAGCTTCTTCTTAGATTTAAATTAAACTCACACCTGGAACATACCACCACACTTCTTTGTGTTCTTCAAGAATTGATTTCAAATCAGGTTCCCCTAGGATGAAAAGAAAAATCACCCAATCTTAGTTTTTTTGTCTTTAATTTTATTTGATACAGAATAATATCCAAACTATGTGGATTCTTCAAAGTGCCATGTTATTATGATCCCAAGTTTTTCAACACTATTTCCCAATATATTCCTGCTGACACCTCTTACTTCAATCTGGCAAGCCCACCTGTCACACAAAGACCCCTCTTCTATCCCTTTTTCTTAAACTCCAACCCCAGTAGCAGGAAGCATTTTCTCTCTCCTCTGCTCATTTCAAATCCCCTTTTCTCCTTTGAAGCCCAAATTAAAATTAACCTCCTTCAAAAAGCCTACCAAGATTGTTCTGAAAGACAGTTGAGTTTCAAGGTTTCAGCATTTCCTGGGTTAGGCTTCAACTCCCATAAATTAACCCCACAACCCCTATCAGTATGTCCTTTCACTAGCCCCTCAGCACTTTTTGCGTTTGTAACAATACAATAATGAATACAGTCTGTTTCACACAGTCACTCTATTCTGAAGTTTGTGTGCCCCTAAATGTTCATCAACATTAGTGCTATCAGTCTTTGCTGGAAATCTCTAAACCCCTGGGGTTTTTAAATGGGTCTAATTTGCCTTTCACTCTCCCCGGAATACTGCACTGAACATTCAACACACTATTTCTTTAAAGCAAGATTCCTTCCGACGTCAGTTCCCTGTCCCTTCTGGATACTGAAGGGAAACCCTTTCCACTCCAAAGTCCTGGTTAGGGAAGGGGTGGGTGGCTGGAAGGGTCGGTAAAGACATGGCGATCTTTTTTTAATCCCACCACTGAGGTAGAAAGAGAAATTTGACCAAAAGTCACGTCCCGGGCATGGCAAAGAATTTCCACACCCCCAGAGAAAATGGGGAATGTTTGCATTGGGAGGGGTGGATGCCCGAACTTGAACTGCAATTCAGGCAAGCGGTCACTCAACTCCTATAAGCAGTACGAAAGAGTCTAGACGCCGCCTAGGGAAGACCCTGTCACGAACCCTAACTTTGGTCCTCTTGAGAGGCAAAAACCAGGGTGGCGGGGTGGGAGCGGGACCCGGACCGCTTTGTGATGAACAAAGAAAACAGGCAAGTTGGAGGAAAGAGCGCGGGTGCGCTCCCGAGACTTGAGGTTACTGATCCTCACCCCCTCCTCCCGGTGCCGACACCCCCTCCCCTGCAGAGGCGGAGCTGGGCGGAGTTAGGCACTGAAGACACGGGCCCCGGAAGCACCCTCCTTTTAGGCCCCTTCAGTCCCACAGTCCCCAGCCACAGCCATCGGGCTTTCTGCCTCTCTGACCTCCAGCTCCCCGGCTACCGAAGCGCTACTCCTTAAACAGCCGCGGAAAATCGAGCGTGCGCGGCAGGTCCAGGGCTCGAGTGCCCTCACCGCGCCCCACGCAGTAAAAGTGTCTTCTCCACTCCGCGTCTCGCGCTAGCCCGCCTAGGCCCCGCGCTCCGGCCCAAGTCTGTACTCTCACCTACACAGCGGCCGTTGGGCCACCTCCTATTGGTTATTGGTCACCAGGGAAGCCTGGGGACCAAGCCCTTGTCCTCATGGGAATTGTAGTTTGAGGTCGCTGGAGGCTGTTCTTCCTGGGAGGGGCGGGGATCCAATACTGGCATTGGCGGAAAGACGCAAGTATAAAAGGATTGTGGGAGATCGAGTCGAGACCCACTTTTTCCGTGTACCCACAATTCCTAGCACCTCCCCGCTTCCACTTGTCTTTGGAGTTCAGACCTAGGAGGGTATTATGGGTGTTGTAGTTTGGAGTGCACTGTACTAACAATTTCTGTCTTAAAGTATGAGGTTCTACTTGCGGGGGCAGACAAAGGCTCTAGATTTATTTTAATGCTCTTAAGCTATTAGCATTTGGGGAAAAGCACTTTAATATAGTTTTGACATTCTTGTTGAATTTTGAGTGTTTTTTTTAATATTTTTTTTCAGTTTTAGTTGGACACAGTACTTTTGTTTTTATTTATTTATTTATTTATATGTAGTGCTGAGGATTGAACCCAGGGCCTTATACGTGCTAGGCGAGTGCTCCCCCGCTGAGCCACAACCCCAGCCCCGAATTTTCAGTGTTTAAAAAAAAATTATTTATGCTCTGATAAGCTTAGAATTTTAACTGAGAGGAAGATATGGTCCTTTAAAATGGTCAGAGTTTGATCTGTGTGAACCACCTGCATTAGAATCACTTTAAATGCTTGGAAAATTGTATATTTGTTACTAATTAATAACCATGCTTTCCTTTTAGAAACAGTGTCAGAATTCTGACATGGAAATATAATCTAGGCCAGCCCAGAAAAAAGCTCGTTTAACTTTAAAAATCTAGATACATTATGTTAAGGTGAAGACCCAGGCACCTCATACAGCAGTGCAGTATAATAGTTTAGAACAGATAAACATTACACTTAAATAATAACAAATTTGATATGTCTTTAAGAAACTATTTTTGAGTAAAAATATGTCATCAGAGTTGGATTAAGAATAGGTAGGAATGCTAAACACTTTCAAGTGATTTAAAGGTTGAGGAAAATGGTTGTTTATTAAGGCTAATTTCATGGTAACTTTTAACTTTTTTATTGGAGACAAATTCGTGTAGCTTGATGAATCATTACAGCTCAATTACTGTAACTTCCCTGGTAAGAACAACTTTTTATTTATAAATGGGATGAAGGAAAAGAAAGAGGAATTGAATTTTTCTAAGGTAAATCACCTATGGTTTCAGAAACAGAAGTGAAGGAGAAAGAGGATTTAATAGATTCAACCATTTATTCAACAAACTACATTGTGCAAGGTTTTGAGCTGGGCATTATTGCTACAACATTGGGGGGAAAGTCCCTGCTCTCAAATAACTCACAATGTGTGGGGAGGGGGATAGAAGAGTATAAAATGGGCAAGGTGCTCAAAAGATATCTACATAGGTAGATACCTATGTAGATTCCACTTCTGAAAGAGGCCATGCCTGAAAATAGACTTCAATAACCAGTATGATATTTTGTCATATATGAGAAAAAGAAGTCAATCATTATCTATGAAGAGCACATAAAAGACATAAGGGCATGAGAGAGTGCAACAAACAAACAAAAAATTCCATATTGCAGAAACTAGATCAAGCAGGGATAGAGGGTCATGTCAACAAATTCAAACTTTAACTAAAAAGTGCTAGAGGACCATCAATGGATTCAAAGTGTTTTAAGCAAAAGAATGTCAGGTGGAGTTAGAAGATATGTGAAGGAAAGGAAAGGAAGGAGTCCATAATGACTCGCAAGTTCTGACTTGGAAGACTAAATATATGGTAGTGCCATTCACTGAGATACTGAACCCAGAAAGAACAGTATATTTTCTGAAGGATGGGAAGAAATCAGTTTTGGACATTTAAAATTTGAAGAGTTGGTGAAACTTGGGTGGAGATGCCTAACAGGATGCTGAGAAATATGGGTTTGAAGCTCAGAAGAGAGGCCTTAGTTGGAACTAAATATTTAGGAGACATCAGTATATAGATGGCAATTAAATAAGTAAAAATGTATTAAATTTCACTTAGAGAATATTTAGAAAAAACATTTTTTTTGCAGTGCTAGGGGTCAAACCTAAGGCCTTATACATGTTAGGCAAGCATTCTACCACTGAGCTATACCCCCAACCCAAGAAAAATATGTTTTAAAAGACAAAGATTAGGGCTGGGGATGTGGCTCAAGCGGTAGCGCACTCGCCTGGCATGCGTGTGGCCCGGGTTCGATCCTCAGCACCACATACAAACAAAGATGTTCTGTCTGCCGAAAAGTAAAAAACAAATATTAAAATTCTCTCTCTCTCTCTCTCTCTCTCTCTCTCTCTCTCTCTCTCTCTCTCTCAAAAATAAAAAAGAGAAAGATTAAATCTAAAACCCTAGACAATAACAATATTCAAGTAGCTGGTAATGGTAGATTGCCTTCAAAGGTACTGAGAAGGAATGCCCAGATAGACGAACCAAGAGAAAACAAAGTGAAATTATTAGAGTATAGAACAGAGTGGCTAAGTAGCAGAAGAACAGAAGAATAATAAGGAAGCATTCATTCATGCATTCAACAGGTGTTTAATATTCCTATAATATAACAGGCATGATTCTAGATGCTGAAAATAGAAATGTGAGAAACAAACACAACCAACCCTCACAACCTTCCCTTTGGAGGTTCTATTCTAATAGGGAGAAACCATCAACAAGCAAGGTAAGTAATTAAAATACATAGCTATGACAACTAATATTTCTGAATAGCTTATTGGAATATGTGTGTGCATACATACAAAGGTAATATTTGATTCATTATTGTATATTAAGGTGAATTTGTGAAATAGTGGCCCAGGATAAACCATTTTGGCTGGATTTAGAGATCTTATTAACAGATCAATTTTTGTAAGAATCACCCATATAAGATTTTTTGTTTTGGTTCTCTTTAGTCATATATGTCAATAGGATTCATTTGACATAATTATAAAGCTTGGAATATAATTTGTTCTAATTCAGTCCCCAGTACTTCCCCTTTCCTCTTCCCTCCCCCCTGTTCCCTTCCTTCTCCTCTACTGATCTTTCTGCTATTTACAAGACACTAATTTTAAACAACTATAAGTAAATAGATCAAGTTTTGAGCTCTCTCCAAAGCCAGTGTGGTGCTCAGGTCATGGCTAGGGTTCAGGTTTATAATGTGGGATGTGTTTGGCTTCATTCTTTACTCAGATTAAGGCTTAGTCAGTCTGTAGCTATCTTTAGAGGCCAGAGTAGATCCATGGTTGCTGACCCATTAAACCGAGTTTAGGACTTAGCCCCATATCATGTTAGGCCCCAGAATTATAGCTATGGTTCAATGTGTAGCATGGACCAGAGTGTATTTCTGATCACTGTTAAATTCATGCTAAGACTGCTAATTAGTGCAGAGTAGCCTAGATTATACCTCATCCTGAAGTCAATGTGCAAAATTTGAGCTCAAATTTTATCCAGTATTAGGATTTTGTTTTCATGTAGAAAAAGGTCTCATTCTAAGATCTGTGTTAGGGCTCAGTCTGTGGACTGACCTTAGCAGACTATAGCTGAGATTAGGGTTTGAATTTAGTTTTTGTTCAATGTTGGAATCACTTTTAATTCTAGACATGGGATTCAATGAAGCTAGAATAGTGACTTTGCCCAAAGTTAGTGTTCATGCTGGTTTTCCTGCCTAGGGAAAGTCTATGTAAGAATATGAACAGAATTTACATTTAGAATTTCATCAGGTTAAGTTTTAATTAGTTTCTGATTAGAGTTTATTATTGGTCCAATAATTAAGTCTGTAGGCAATGCTCTGGTACTGTCAGTGTTGGGTATTCAGTCTGTTGCCATATTAGGACAGTACCTATGATATGCCTGTATTATCAGCTTTGTGTTACTACAGTGAAATTTCTGAGGCAACTAACTTAATAAAAAGAAATGGCTTGTTTACCTCACAGTTTTGAAAGTTCAAGCCCAAGAGCAGACAGACCCGTTGGTTAGGGCCTCTGGCAAGGCACCAGATACCAATGTTGGTAGTGATTGTTAAAGTGAGTAATTCCATCTTAAGTTAGGAAGCACACAGTGAGAGGCTGGGCAGGGTTTCACAATCTCTTTTAAGGGCATGCACCTAATGACCTAAAGATCCCCCCCAAGGCCCCACTTCTAAAAGGTCCACAGTACCTCCCAGTACTGCCACTTTTGGTACCAATGGTGCTGGGGATTGAATCCAGGGCCTTGTACATGCAAGGCACTCTACCAACTGAGCTATATCCCCAGCCCTACATATGGACCTTTGAGAGACACATATATTTTTCCAAACCATAAGACTTCCCTAGAGCTTTGTATCAGACTACAGTTAGTAGTTCCTTTATGGACAACATTAGGGTATAGTTTGTCGCCAGGATTTCAATATAAATATAAACAGAATTGGGGATACTTATTTGATCAAGCAAGCTCAAGGTGTGATTTATGATTTTAGCCAGTGTCAAAATTCTGTCTTTAGGTGATATCAGGAATAATCTATGGAGCTAAGTTAAAGTGGCCAGTGTTGATCCTCATCCTGTTGCCAGAGTAGGGCTTGTCAGTATGACCTGTATTAGTATGTCAGTTTGGGGATTTTCAGAGTTGAGTGTGGAGGTAGTGGTCCCTCTTAGAACTGTGTAGAATTTGTGTTTACTTAGTGATGGAGGTGATAATATCTGATTCAACTTTTACCAGAGTTTGAGGGTTAACTAGGCTAAGGCTTTCTATGAAGAAAGATTTAGAATTGAGTATCAACATGTTTTTTAGATTGTTGATATTACATGTTCGTCTATGGATAGGGTTCAGTAAGAATGAAAAATACACAGGATCCAGCTGAAGCTCAAGTTTAAAAGCTTGCACTATAATCAGAGTTTGGGTATCAGGCTGATGCCAGGTTTTAGGTTCAGGGTGTTTATGTCCTCTTGTCAGTCTGGGACTTAGGCTTTGGCTAGTGCAGCAGTAATTC